TGAATCTACAAACTAGTCGCCAGTGCACAGTATTTTGGCATTAATCAAAATTGCATCCTGCACAATCATTTAGACAAGAATGACATTAATCTGTTTCTTTTGAGTAAAAAAAACCAACCTCACATTTTGAAGTTTCACAAGTATTAGATTCATTTAATGTATAACCATCATTACAAACGAAACATTCATTTGTCCAATTACAAAATTTACATTGTGCAATGGTGCATTAAGAACAAACATTCTAAGATTGATAATAATAACCTATTATGCAATCCAAGCAATGAGTTGCTGATGTTTAACAATTGAAACAAGGTTCCTAACACTTTTCGCATGTACTTGAATTCTTGAAATAACCTGAGGCGCAAGTGTTGCAGATAATCGAACCTGCTTGAAATGTACAATCTGAACATTCAATAGGACAAGGTAAACAATTATCAAAATTTAGGTAGTATCCACTAGGGCAACTTGTACAAGTATATCTGGCTGTACACAACCGACAATAAGCATTGCATTAAATACACTTCAAATTTTCTAAAAAATAACCAGGTGAGCATTCAAAGCAACGATCATTATAACCAGAACATTACTTACATCCTTTCGAACAAGTTTAACATTTATTATTAGCAACTAAATAATTTTATATTTCACAAGATAAGCATTCAGTGCTGGAGTTCTAACACATGTCGCAGGGACTAGTACATTTGATGCATTTATTCATTATTAATGTGTAAGAGGAAATACATGAAGCACAATTATCGGGTAAATCAAAACAGGTTGTACAATTATCTGCGCATTTAAAACATGAGAAACCTTTTACATAATACCCAGGTATGCATTAAGTGCATTGAGAACTATTTAAGCATTTTGAACATACACTTTAGCATTTATTACAATAACCAACATTGTTGTAATACCCATCAATACATGATTAACAATTATTATTCGATGTGCAAGAGGTGCAAATTGATGGACAATCTTCACATTATCCAAAACTGTTACTATATTTTCCAGTAACACAAGTATTACAATAGTTTTTGGCTTAGCATTTTACACAATCTGGTGTACATACATAGCATTAATCATCTTCATAAAAAAACCCTTCTATGCAAATAGAACAATCTGTTGATGTAGTACATTTTAAACAACCATCAATGCATATCTCGCAAGTTTATTCTGCAAAATAATAGGTGTCTATGCATGTAGTGCAAACAATAGAAGATGTACAAGTAGCACATGGAGCTGCACATCCTTTGCATATTGAATTTTCTTAATAATATCCCTCATCGCATTTTATAATTGGAGAATTACAAGGAGGTTTCATACCATCAGGACAAGATATGCAAAAGCCATTTATACAGGCTATACAATCTAAGCCATTGCAAGGTTCATAGCATTGTGATTAATCTGTTGTCTCATATTTGCACAAACAGTTTCCATTTTAATTTACTCTATTTAATTAACAGCTTTTGCAGTATTGTTCATTCTGATTAAAATAACAATCATCACAATATTTCTGGCATCCATTTATTAAACTCATTAAAGCATCTATCAATTTTTCACATTCTGCATCACTAAAAAAAGTGAATTTTGAATATCCAATATAAAAGAAATACATCGCCTAATATATCGAGTAGTCTTCAGCTAGAAATCTTCTCCTTGTAACTCTCCCTGTTTCTTCCTACGAAGTTATTATCACCTAAATATAAACTGCATAACCCTTTTAATATTGAAACATTCCTACATTCCATTACCTTTCAAAAACTCGACTAGTGTAATAATTTGAGGTTTATGAAACTGAAGCAGTTGAATCAAACTTCCAAAGCACACTTTGTTTCTCTTTTGGTTAGATATATCCAACTGCAAAAACATTTTGTTAGAATCTTTAATAATACTAACCAACAGGAATATCACTTTTAAAGAAAAATTTCTCCTAATTTTATTCTAAATCAAAATAATATTTTGAGACCGAACTAGTTGCAGTATCCTATAAATACGAAGCCTTTATTAGTTTAGTCAACTCGCTAACAATATCAATATTACTATCGAAAAGATTTACGACAGCTTACTAATATTGATTAGATGTATCAGTCTTAAATTTAAATGTCAGCAATCTCTCATCCCAAGTATCAACTTCGCATGCATATTAATATTTAACTGCTTAATAACCAGATTTGCAAACACAATCACCATTTACTAATTACCGATGTGTGATGTTTTCATCACCACAACTTAAACAATGATTCCTTTTTGAAACATCACATGTAATACAATTTTAGGAACATTCTAATAATCCATTTCATATTCTATACATAAACATAGAGACACATTTACGGATGTAATTTCAATAAACCCATCCTTGCAAACACATTTTCCATTTAATAAATTTCTTGTGTTCGAATCACATGTGATACATCTAGTTCGATCATGTAAATCACAAGTTAAACATGTTTAATGACCTTAATTATAATAAATTATAGTACAAGTTATTGCAAAACTATCTTTTACATTAAGAAAGCACATCACTAGTAATAAAATCATATTTTTCCTATTGATAATAATAATAATGTATATTAAATATATAGTGGAATATAATTGATTTTATGACGATAAAAATGAATTTATTCTATCTGCCTATTTGTATCGAATAATATATTGAAATTCATTAATGCACTCTTCAATCAATTAAGATACATTTAAAGGTAATTAGTTTATGAAAGTTTTACAACTAAATACTTTTAATTTTTGAACCAGCTACTTTTTAAATTCATTTTTCTTAACTCATACATTCATTATTTTCACATAATTATACAAATATTAATTTATTAAAATGAAATGATTATAGATATTAAATTTAATACATTAAGCAAATTTAATAAAAATCATCAACAATTTAATGTTCAAATCAAAATCGTTTAGAATCTTGCCAAATAATTTAATGATTCAGCTATAAAAAACTAATGCTTTCTGTAATGCTAAGGGTTAGGTGAATCAGAATATGATAGAGCTTCTGATTGTGTTTGAAATAACATTTTTAAAATTTTTTGGATAATTCACTTCTTACTTTAATTATAAGGTAAAAAATATTCCGCTTAAAGTTAATTAAAAGATACAATAAACCCTAATGGATCATATATAGATCCTAATAGGTACATTTATATACAGCTAGATCAGCGATTAAAGCTATGCAATTCTGGATCGCATCACAACCAACACGAAATATTTACTCACCCAGCCTCTTATAAATGCTACAATTATTGAGTAATTTCTTTGTACTACTTTAAAGTGCTCTTTTTAGATTACTAATTTAAAGTGATTTAAAGGAGTATGCTTGAATAACTCACCTCCTTCTATGTGTTTTATGGATATTAGACTAAAACTCAAAATGAGATTAATAGAAAAGTCAAAATTAATATTGTCTTTCAAAATTTATCAAGAAAAATTATCATAGTCAAATAGCATTGCTTAAAAAAAATTTAGATATTACTGAACAGATATGATTCTTCATCCAAATATAAAAATAATTCTCCTAATTATTTTTTGTTTGGAACTATTTTCTGTCATCCAAATCAATAAAATTATCTAATACAATTTCCTAACATTTAATTTAACATTATACTTTAAAAATTTATTCTATATT